AGCAACCCGTACAGCGACAGCAGCACACAGTTGGACAGCAGCAGCAGCCATCGTGGGGAGGGTCCTCAGGTTCGCAAATCGGTCTTGCCCTGGATATGATTCACCAATCTATAGCTCAACTGCAGCAGCCGCACTCATCTATGACAACAATTTCGGCCGCTCCTGAAGGCACGCAGCAGTTTTGACGTGCATTGTAGCCGCATGGTATGCAGATGCACAAAAATAAAAATACCGCCTTGCATCCAGGCATCTATGGCACAGATGCGGAAGTTTTCAGCGATGTGTTTTAGTGTGGGTGATCCCAGTTCCAACTCTTTGTTTACGGCTCCATCTGCCGGATGTTCATGCGTGCAGTGAAGTGCTGAAAATAAAGCCGAGAGAAGACCCATGGTTCCTGCAGCACGGCCTTCAAATTTCCTCTAGAAAAACATGATTCGTAGTCGCCAAACAAGGTTTGTTGCTAGAGCCCGCGTTTAGACAACACGTCTTTGTCAGCACCACAATCGTTTTCCTTACTTATTTATGAGCGTCTATCTCTCAACATTTCTGCTAAAAATAAAGATTTGCTGCCTATAATAAAGACTGTCTGGGTCAAGCTGTGGCTGCAGCACCATTCCTTGCTCGACGAATCTTCAGGCCTTCATATCCGCTGGAACTTGTTTTCCCTCGTTTTTATTTAGGGGTGGTAAACAGTGGCATAGTTACGGGGTGGCGCACCAGGCCGGCGCGTGCCCTTCCCCCCCCTTTCTCTCTACCCCAAAAACTTTTGTATTTTCGCCCCCTCGGTGATAAACGATGGTCTCGATCGAGTGTGTGCTCAGGGTTTGGGACAGGCTGACCCTTACATTGACATAAGATCTTGTCCTATACTCGGTAATTTACCCCTACAGATGCCACTACACGCGATGGAGGCAGATCCGGGGTGTGTGTTGTCATAGAGTTTCCCAAAATTAACTAGAGGGGACTCTGGCGCTGCGATCGTTCAGTGACCATGAGAATGATGGGTAGTACACACAATTGCCTAGTCTTCGTACTTGCGGGCGGCGACTCATACTTGCGGCTTCGTTTATTGCTGTATTTCAGTTTTGTTTTGAAAGAAAGATTCACCCCTTTTGAACTTTGTGGCCGGATTCGGAAAGGTAAGTCTAAAAAAATAAGGTGGTTAAGTGCCAGCGCTGAACATTTGCTCATTTTTGTTTCGTAAGAAAACAGCTTCAAGGCACACGAACACACACGGAGCCAAAAGCAGTCCCGAAGTACGAAGATTAGACAAATGTGTGTACTACCCATCGTTCCCATGCTCGCTGAGGCGCCTTGCGTTGCAGCTCCAATAGACACTAGCGCCAGAGTTTCTTCTAGTGTATATTAGGAAACTCTATGCGTGTTGCAGGCATGATTATGCTCGCAACTGGAATGCACTCGTATGCTGGAGTAAGCCTACACCAGACATATGATCACTTCACGCAAACAGTGGGTGGCGCCAGGATTGAAAAATAGCAATATATGTGGATGACATCAACCTTTGGGCCGGAAGGGGTTCCCCATCAGAAATACAACACACGCTGCAGTCGGCCATTGACACGACTTCTCGATACCTTGAAGAAAGAGGGCTCACTCTTTCCAGTGCCAAATCTGAGTTTATCGTCGTAACAAATGGGTAGCTTCCAAACGCTCAGGAAGACCGGCAACTCGTTACACTCTCCATACAAAATGACCCTATTCCCAGGAAGCCCTGCATCAAAGTGCTAGGCTTCTGGTTGCAAGATTACGGCAAGTCAAAGGAGTGGCTCCGACATACAATACAGCAGTTACAGCAAGTACACCGTCTTTTGAAACGCACAACGCGAAAGTTGAGAGGCATCAAAGAACACCAACCCAGGCACATGACCCTAGCTTTAGCCATTCCCCGTGTCATGTATCAATATCCATATAGTGACATCACCAAGACCCGAAAATCGAAGCTCGAGACCCTGCTTCGTCAGATTTCTTGCACGATACTGGGTACCCCTCATTATGCAAAGTCTGATAGGGTTCAAGGAACTGCGATCCTACCAAAACTCGATGAGTTGGCCCAAATTCAACGTGAAGCACAATTCACGCGCCTCAAACATTCCGCACAAGGATACGCCCTGCTTCGTGAATTAGGCTTCGACATATCTGCACCTGTCACATTTGAAGCAACCCGGCCCCCTTGGGCGACGCTCGACCAGATCACCGTCGAACCAGTTCCGCGGCACATGGTTCGAGATAACCAAACAGGACGACGTAAATCACGAGTACAACATCTCCAAGAAACCACAAGAGAGTGGATCTTGTACACAGATGCATCTCCGTCTCATACCGGCGAGGGTTTTCGAACGTGAATAGCTTCCGATGGACGACCACTGTCATGGGGCTTCCATTACAACATTAGTACATAATGCATTGCAGAAATCACGGCCATAGTGGAAGCAGTTACCATGCCCAATCCAAATGCCCGTAATTTACTGATACGCACAGATAGCCAAGCTGCCTGTCGAGCCCTCGCGACAGATGACATTCCAAATGCGCATTACAACAAACTTATGAAGCACTTAGCTGACCACCCTTCGTTACGTGTTTGTATACAGTGGATACCTGGTCACTCGGGGATCCGAGGGAATGAAGTGGCACACGCCATGTCCTGCGTGAATCTCCCAGGCCCTTTTCTGTGGTGGCCGGATTCACTGAAACGCACCGAATTACTTGCTATGGCACGTTTAGAGAGGCGCGAACGATTAGATGAGATGTGCAACAATCGCAGAGTTTATCCTGATCCTCCTCATTTCATGACGAGACGCGAGGTATCCCTGATAAGGCGTGCCCAAACTCACTCTTTAATGACACCACACATTCAACACTACATACAAGGAAAAGACGGATCATCTGCTTGCATGACATGTGGTAGCTTCCCGGATAATGCTCACGTTCTGTGGGATTGTCCGGGTGGTCGCGCAGCCTTGGCCGAGAGCCTCAAGCACATACCTATAAACTTAAGACCTGCGACCCTGGAGGAGTGGCTGGCGGACTCCTCGCCGGACATCATGAAGACACTGCTCCATCATTTGCAACTTCTAGGTCTGTCTGATGGATAGGCTTTTTTTAGTAGGCCCGGACCGGGGTTTTTTTATTTTTAAATAAATTTGTTCTCTATGTCTAGACTTTCTTATAGACTACCTTATCTTAGACATGTGGGCACCATCACCCTGAGCTGTAGAGGAGCAGGAGGATACAACTTTATTAAAAGAACTTTCATGGGTTTCGAGCTGGCCGATTGTCTGCGGCGACCCCTTGTGCCCACGCAATCACTGCTTTCAGCAGTTTTTTGTCGGGGGACCGTATTAAGGTCTCCCTCGTCGTTTCGGAGGGAGCTGGCAGAAACTCTCGGGGTGGGGAAGGCCCTCGCATTCCCAGAGGATGTGACTTTGGTTTGCTATGACATTTTTGTCACAATTTTTGCATGTTGAGTCAACCTCTCCACCTGTGAATATCGCTAAGCGGTGAGGAGTGGTTAGGCTGTTCGTTTGAATTCGGAGGAGGATAGTGGTCTGCGCTCTTGCGAGGTTGCTGTGTGGTATGGGATATAATCTCCTGTCATCTTTATACATATTCGTAAGTTTGTTATAGGAGGTCACTGGCTCTCCTATCGGGGAGCCCGATTCCAATGAAAGCGCGACCCCGTTCACTAACCCTCTGGCCACTTTATCCGCTTCCTCGTTACCGAGTGTGATGTGAATTATTATGCAATGAAACAACGGATGCTCTAATTCTGCCGTTTTCGTATGCATCAACATGGAGGCACTGAAACCCCTCTGTAGAAGTCTGTAGACCGCAAGCGAAGGGCATCTATCTGTGGTCATGCGCTTCCAAGTGTAGCGCCTCCTCAATTTTATCAATGTCAGCCAGATGCGCCCGATTCAGCCATTCACCGCCCTCTCAATTAACCCTTTCCTGCTCTCACCCATCGTCTAGCCTTCGCATGTGCTTTGCGGTCATGGGGAAGAGAGCACGTCATGCAGTGCCTCACGACGGGATTGATATAGCGTGGTTTTTCGTTCAGTTGTGTACAGATTTGTGGGATGGTGTCTTGCATTCCTCGTGACCACAATGTTGGCGATAGCGCTGGCTCTGTAAGGGATGAGATGTTTTCACGTAGTGGGTCATGGTTCATTGCGCTACGCGGGCAACCAATAGGGACGCGTCACAGTGACGCCGTGACGCGATCCCATTGCTCAGCTCAGCTCCGTACGCGTCACGGCGACGCCGTGTACGGCGCTGAGCTCCACACCACGCACACGCAAATACCAGCATCACGTGTCACCAGTCGCAAGCAAGCTCTCTACTCTTCAAAAACTTCAAGAGTAGCCGTCACACTGCATGCTTTCTTGATAGCCTGCAGCACTTCCTTAAAATTGTAGTGTTTTAATCATGCACATGAATTTACGTAAATCCACGCTTTGAATAAATTGCGTTTTTTTGTCGACGCATAATGCTTGCTCTCCTGCCTTATGTTTTACCAGCAGGTCGTAGGATCGAATCCCAGCCACGGTGGTCGCATTTTCGATTAAAGCTAAAATGCTTAATTAAGGCCCGCGTGCTTTGATTTAGTTCCGCGTTGAAGAACTCCAGAAAGTCGAATATTCCGGGGCCCTCCACTACGGCATCTCTCACATTCATATAGTGGTTTAGGGACGATAAACTCAAACAACTGTTCTTATTGTGTTTTTTTCTTCACCAAGAGTTGCGTCATTACGCTAACCTTAGCATGAACCAACCAGTCTAACATATTTTATTACGACACTTAAGATGACCGAATTCGATCTCCATAATGCAAAACTGACTTTTTTTTTAGTAGAATCTCTCCGAACAAATTTCGATACTCTGGATAGCGAGGACGTCGAGTTTTATAATGCGCCGTCCGCTTTGCCAAGGTAAAAAGGACCCTTGTCACGAATAGTTACAGCCTACACAATTGGCCGAAATCTTTGCAAATGAGCAGATAATGTTTTATTTCACAATGCCGGTAGTCATCCTGAAGTCGTGCAAGTGCAAGACGTATAGATGGGTGCTTTTTAACGTCATCATGCTTCCACGAAAAATTCAACCAAGGAGTTGACTAAACTTCAGCTTCATCATTTGTTGTGAGGAGCTTCTCATCCTGTGACATGCACTTTCGTGATCCTTCACAAGTTCTCAATGTAACCTAGAAAGGAAGCACAATTTTTCTTACTAGAAATTTGTCTTAGCTACAGTGACGCAATTCATTGGGCACTTGCTGCCCCAGTCACAACAGAACTTTGATTAACAGTGTTGAGAAATTTGTGCGCCGTGAAAGAAAACAAAGAAACATAAAACTAACATTGAATAAGGCACGAGCAACACTTTTTATGGCAGACTTATTTTGGAGTTTATTATTATGCTTTCCTAAACACCCATGAATATCTTCCTTATAACATCAGGCAACGCTGTGTATGTTACAAATGTTTTTTTTATTTCACATTGTACACCCATTTGAACAAAAGTGAGCGCCCAACGCATTTGACACATGTTTAGACTGGATAAACCAGACCGTGCGACTGCACCACGTTACTGCGTGATACACTTGATACGTTCACCACGTTAGCTAGAGCAAATCTCATGCCATACTTTTACATCTCAGAGTATAGCAGTTGCTTTAGTGGTCTAAACCTTGCTGTTGAAGAACGAATGGAGTGGCATGATTTCATGATTCAGGGGTCACGATGCATTGCTGCACACGCCACCTAACCACGTGCCGAAGTCCTCAGGAGAAGACCAGAAGTCGCACCGTGCTAAAGTGTGTTAAGTGCGAATCGCTTAAGGGGACCAGTCTCTCGTATGCTGTCGGCCACCGAATCGGCCACCGAACCGTGGCCGATTCGGTGGCCGTCTCCACCTCCGAGAGCGCGGCGTTGACATTATCAACACAAGAGAAACAACCGGAGTGGTCGTGGCGTGATCGCCTGACACCATTCAACGACATTACACAACAGTACAGACGAAACAGACGCAAATACCCACCACCACACAAAAAATTGAAGAAAAGACAGGCCGCAACTCCGAGATAATTGCAAACAAATACGTACCCCAGCCCTGCGATCCTACGCCTGTGTTATTCAGGCCTATGCCCGACGGACGCTTGTAAAGTGAGCGGGGAAAGTGCCACATCGCGGCACATTCTTTGGGGGTGTGCCGGAGAAGCTAATACCGCTGCCGCCGCTCCCTTCGCGCGCGACGCATGTCAGGCAGGCACAAACTCTGAGACAATCACTCTCCTCCATATCCTCTCCAAAGTGTCCCGCCATCCTCTCCCAAGTGTTCATAAGGCTTTTTTTTTAATCCTCTCTACAACGTTCACGGTGCGGCCACTGGCCCTATACCACGCCTCGCGTCACCTTCCTATCAAGAGTGCTATGTAACTCTGATAACACGTACGATGTTCGTGGTGACCCGAGAGGCGGGTGAGGAGGGTGCGTGGCGCGGCGGCTTGGTTAAAAGATTGGCGTTACTTTCCTAAAGATATCCAGGGACTTTAGGGCCATCCGGCAAGCCTAAGAGGCCGCCCGGGTCCAAGGACTTCAAGCGGTCCCCTGAGGCACCACCGTCATGATCGACGAAGGGGGAAATTACAGAGGTTATCCTCTCTTCGCCCACCTCGCACGAACGAAATTACCGGATTTAAAATAAAGTTTATTCATTCACTTGTTGGACAGCACTTGTACCACCTACTTACTAGTGTTTTCGTGTCTTTTTTTTTTGGGGGGGGGGGGGTGCTGATCTTGATGAGTTTGTACCAAGTAGCCCAATTTGCTACTTGCCCCGTCACGGTGGTCTAGTGACTAAGGTACTCGGCTGCTGAACCACAGGTCGCGGGATAAAATCCCGGTGGTGGCGGCTGCATTTCCGATGGAGGCGGAAATGTTGTAGGCCCGTGTGCTCAGATTTGGTGCACGTTGAAGAACCCCAGGTGGTCTGAATTCCCGGGTCCACTACACGTCTCTCATAATCATATGGTGGTTTTGAGACGTTAAACCCCACATACCATCCTCATCAATTTGCTACTTTACTCTAGCATTGCAACCATGAACTAAGCAACAACCGAGCCTCATTCAAAATGTTTGTAGAGAGATATTTCAAGTGGACGAGCCCCTCGTCCCAAACGGTTTGGGCACAGTCTAGCAAGGACGAGCTGGGCTCATTCAAAACTATTAAGGGGTTAAGAAAGCTATCCAGGAATGCGATACCACGACCTAACAGTGATTACTTCGGCTAGCTAGTCGTTGTGTCATTATCACTGGTGGCACAAAAATAGACACCTGTTAAAGAGACAGGCGCTATCTTTCTAGCACCTGTCCCTTTTGTTTATAAACAGTGTTTCTTCTGCTCGTAACAAATTAGCACTTCATATAAAGGGAATAGTTGTTACAAGAAGTGTAACTCAGATGTGTAGGCAAAACAACGGGTTCAAGTAAGATAAAAAGTCACTTCTTTACACATCCCCTTCTTTCAGACTTCGCCGCAGCGTAGCGCCGTCCACACACGCTCGCTTGCAGGCTTCCGTCAGAGGAGAAGCGGTTGGAGCCGATGAGGCAGCGGTGCGTCAGCAGAGTCGCCGCCGACGCGCGGACGCATCGCACGTGACCGTCAGCGCCGGGCGACACGTCGGCAAAGAACGGGAACCGCAGGACATTGGAGTCACACGTGACTCCGTCTCCGGGTCCCCTACACTTTCCCTGGCGATCGCTATCACCCAGAAGCTGGGGCGATGAGCAGCGATCCACACATTCGTCCAGGCTTCCGAAGATGTCGCTGTCGTCGGAGCTTGGGCATCGGCCCTTGGGAAAGTCCCACGGCCGACATCGCTGACCATCGAAAACCCACCAACTGGACTTGACATCTTGTCTATTCGAAAGAAAAAATATGCACAGAAGCAAAGAAGGTGCCAACTGGTGAACTTGTGAAGACAGGTGAACACAGCACATCATAATTAGCACAAAATATATGCATGCGCGAGAAGGCTGTCCGTTGTTTTCCTCGGGCCGGCTGTCATCCAACCGTCTAATGCACAAAAGCGCTCGAAAGCGCAGCCACCATCTACTTATAGACAAGCAGTCATTCAGGTTCCATCCGAGTCTAGAGCTGTACCATGTTCCATCCTAATTTCTTTTATTTATTCACCAATTCCAAAGACCATCATGAACCCTTTGCAGGAGGGGCCATATAAGCAGCGCACGAAGCTATAACAGAAAAATGACAATCAGGCCCATGAGAAAAACAAAGGCAAAGAATGCAAGACTGAGTGCGATAATTGAAATCATAGAACAGACGTTTATATTTCGTGTTCTAAGTCATTCGTATCGAAAACAGAAGAGGATGGAGCAATTCAACCTTACCGACTCGTAGGAAGAAAGTTCTGCTTGATTACTTGCATTAAATAGTCAGTAGACAATCAGAGCCCATCCTTGTGATTTCTTTATTTTATGTTGGCAGTCTTAATATCAAATTCAGTAACATTTTAGCACCTGTACAGTGAAGTGCCTCTTTTAAACACCCAATTATGCAGTACACCTTCCCAAAGAAGTAATTTTAGCCCCGCCGCAGTGGTCTAGTGGCAAAGGTACTCGGCTGCTGACCCACAGGTCACGGGATCGAATCCCGGCTGCGGCGGCTGCATTTCCGATGGAGGCGGAGATGATGTAGGCGCGTGTGCTCAGGTTTGGGTGCACGTTAAAGAACCCCAGGTGGTCGAAATTTCCGGAGCCCTCTACTACAGTGTCTCTCATAATCATATGGTGGTTTTGGGACGTTACCAATCAATCAATCAAAAAAGTAATTTTGAATAATACATGTCTAAAACACGTCTTCTGCAACGATGTATAGGTAAGTACGAATGATCCTGACATCGAACGGTGTTATACACCACTTCGCTGTGTGCAGCTTGAATGCTATAGAATTCATAAGAACCATATCATTTTTTTTGTTTCCGCTTTCGCGGCTAATTTCCTTCATCGCACATTGTGCATGTAACGCTAGATGAGGCCAAAAAGAATCCACCAAGTTGTTTGTTAACTGGCAGTGGCGGGTTGTCGGTTCTCTTTGGTAATTTTGTACTAAGGCACGCACCTGTTACACCAGGAGAATAGGGTCTTCTCGAAGCAGGCATCTGATGTCACGTGGGTGTGGACACATTTCTTCTCGCACTCACTGCGCGAGGTGAACCTGTTCGGCGAGTGATTGCAGACGTGCACGTCGTCCACCAGAGTGCGCACACACGAGCGCGTCGTGTGGCGGTAGTAGGCCTCGTGCAGGAACGTCAAACAATACGTGTAGAAGGCCAGGCCGCACTTGTGCTTTGTCTGCGAAAGGTACAAGACAACGTTCTTTTTTGTTTGTTTGAGTATTCTTTTCGCTCCTGCTAGAATGAGACCGATGTTTACGAAGCATCCACAAGCGAAGTTTATTGGGAACACCTAATGCAACATAAGAATCATAATATCTGGGGTTCGACCCATCACACGGTACACCAACTTCTATCACTTTGTCTCCATCAAAATGCCACCGTCTTAGCCTGCATCAAACCTGCGACATTCGAGTCAGTGGCCGAGCACTGTAACCGCTTGCGGTGCACGAAAGCACACAGATGTCCCCTAACCGTCACTTTCTACAAGTACCGACGTCTCGCCTAGAATTCCTGTAATGCGTCTTGGTGTACTAGTTAGTACATGGTCACTGAAATACAAGAACCATTGAAAAAAACATGGCGTAACCCCTATGAAAAAAAACGTGTTACAAGCTTTCCTGTTCCATCGACTTCATCCACCTTGGTTGCACGTCGTTTTGTATTTCGGTAAACTATAACCAATTATATAATATCTCCTGTAAGTAATCGCATGCATTATCATTCTACGCCTGCTACAAGACAAAGGATTCCACTCAGCAACCAGCCCTGTCCATAGACACTGACGGACCATAGACGACTGACCATAGACCCTCTTACTTTGGCTGTCTGGACGTTTCTGTGGCTTTTTTTTCTAGGCGATTGGTCGTTTTAGTTTATTGAACATCAATATTAAAGGACGCGGCTGTGAAGGTGGGCAGCGTTGCAGTAAACTTACCGGTCTGCGTATCGGTGCCGACAAGACGTTCCGCCTCGAATGGAAACCTTCTTCCCGTGATAATGCCGCAGGACGTTGCGTGCTCCGACGC